AACCAGCTGAACCTTGCTGCCGAAATGATTGAATGGAGCGGGTGGGGATGCTGAGCCCTCAGCACTGGTATTTCCAACTTAACTGGTTGGAAATAATGATGCGGGTTATGTCAAGACATTCGTTTAAATATCAAGCAGGTTCTTCAATCTGTGTAAGGCACAAAGGTCAAAAAGCGATGTAGGATATGATATTGCCTGTTCTTATTGTTTTCTGCAGGATAGTGTGCAGGAATAACTACTAAGCACGGGTGCCTTTAATAAAAGCAGGCGATCTGCGCTGTATCTCCCTAGCAAGGATGCATGGGATCTTTTCCTATCATATGCCTTCTCTTTCCCCCCTGCCAGGCATTAAGCGTAGGGAATGACATGAAATGTGTTTGTTTTCTTGACAACTGTGTTTTTCTGCATCTTCAGTTGTGCATTATTATCACGCTATTGCAGCTAGGTTTTAGGTAATATTAAATTAATGTTAATACATGGATGCTTTCAATCATATATACTAATAGAAACCTCAATTCCCTGGGCACTGGTCCTTTTGTAGCCAAAAAGTCACAATCTCTGCATGAGATGGGGGCATCAGCAGGCCTCGGCCCAGTATACCTGAAGGAGCATCTCCACCCCCATCATTCTGCCCAGATGCTGAGGTCCAGCGCAGAGGGCCTTCTGGCAGTTCCTTCATTGCGAGAAGCAAAGCTACAGGGAACCAGGCAGAGGGCCTTCTCGGTAGTGTCACCCACCCTGTGGAATGGCGTCCTATCAGATGTCAAAGAGATAAACAACTACCTGACATTTAGAAGACATCTGAAGGCAGCCCTGTTCAGGGAAGTTTTTAATGTGTGACATTTTAATGTATTTTTAATCTTTGTCGGAAGCCACCCAGAATGGCTGGAGAAACCCAGCCAGATGGGCGGGGTACAAATAATCTATTATTATTATTATTATTATTATTATTATTATTATTATTATTAGAACACCAAGGTTTGGTGATATGTATACACACACGGGGAAACCAACCAGAGAGACACCCAAACACCTCAATGAGTACTAAACCTGCTCAGTGGGAACAGAATACTGACTCACTGCTGAGGAGGAGATGGGAACAGCTCTAGTGGGAGGAGATGCTAAAATCCCCAAAAGCAACACACCATGCTGCCATATTTTGTTGCAGGCCCCCCTTGTATTTATTGAACACTTGCCATTTTTATTGGTTCGGGGTGAGGCATCATGTCAAAGTGCACGTAGATAAATAGGTACCGCTCCGGTGGGAAGGTAAACAGAGTTTCCGTACGATGCTCTGGTTCACCAGAAGCACCTTAGTCATGTTGGCCACATGACCTGGAAGCTGTACGCTGGCTCGGCCAGTAAAGCGAGATGAGCACCACAACTGGGGGAACGATAATAATAATAATAATAATAAATTTTATTTATATCCCGCCCTCCCCAGCCAAAGCCAGGCTCAGGGCGGCTAACAACAAATAAATAATCAAACAATTAAATAGTCCAACATTCTAAAACATTTCATTATAAAAATTAATTAAAATCAAATTAATGGCAACCGTTGAGCAAAGTTCTGTGTAGGTTGCCGGAGGTGGGAGTCAGGCTGGGCCCTGACCAAAGGCCTGGTGGAACAACTCTGTCTTGCAGGCCTTGCGGAAAGATGTCAGGTCCCGCAGGGCCCTAGTCTCTTGTGACAGAGCGTTCCACCAGATTGGAGCCGCAGCCGAGAAAGCCCTGGCTCTAGTTGAGGCCAGCCTAACCTCTCTGAGGCCTGGGACCTTCAGGATGTTTTTATTTGCAGACCGTAGGTTCCTCTGTGGGGCATACCAGGAGAGGCGGTCCCGTAGGTACGAGGGTCCTAGGCCGTATAGGGCTTTAAAGGTTAAAACCAGCACCTTAAACCTGATCCTGTACTCCACCGGGAGCCAGTGCAGCTGGTATAGTACCGGATGAATGTGATCTCGCAGCGAAGACCCCATAAGGAGTCTCGCCGCGGCATTCTGCACCCGCTGGAGTTTCTGGGTCAGTCTCAAGGGCAGCCCCACGTAGAGCGAGTTACAATAATCCAGTCTGGAGGTGACCGTCGCGTGGATCACAGTGGCTAGGTCAGGGCGAGAGAGATAAGGGGCCAACTGCTTAGCTTGGCGGAGATGAAAAAATGCCGCCTTTGTTATAGCTGTAATCTGCGCCTCCATAGAGAGGGAGGTATCGAAGATTACACCCAAACTCTTAACGGACGGTGCTGGCACTAATTGCACCCTCGCAAGAGATGGGAGTTGCCCCCAATCCCATATCGTCCCGTCCCAGCCAGAGGACCTCTGTCTTCGAAGGATTTAACTTCAACCGGCTTCCGCGTAACCATCCAGCCACAGCTTCCAAACATCTGGTCAGTGTGTCTGGGGCCGAGTCAGGATGGCCATCCATCAACAGATAGAGTTGGGTGTCATCGGCATACTGATGGCAACCCAGCCCAAAACTCCGGACAAGCTGGGCGAGGGGGCGCATAAAGATGTTAAAAGCATCGGGAGAGTATCGCACCCTGAGGCACTCCACACACCAAGGAGTGGCGGGATGACAATTCCCCCAAGCGCCACCCTCTGTCCCCGACCGGAGAGAAACGAGCGCAGCCATTGAAGGACTGTGCCCTGGATCCCCACGTCGGCAAGGCGGTGGTCCAGGAGTTCGTGATCAACCATGTCGAAGGCTGCTGACAGATCTAGAAGAATCAGCAGCCCCGACCCGCCTCGATCCAGCTGCCTACGGAGATCATCTGTTAGGGCGACCAGAGCCGTCTCGGTCCCATGACCAGCGCGGAAGCCAGACTGGAATGGATCTAGAGCCGATGTTTCATCCAGAAACCTACCAAGCTGTTCAGCAACCGCTCTCTCAATCACCTTACCCAGGAATGGAAGATTCGAAACCGGGCGGTAATTGGATAGATCTAAGGGATCTAATGATGTTTTCTTTAAGAGCGGGCGCACCACTGCCTCCTTCAATTCCCCTGGAAATATCCCGGTGCCAAGGGACAAATTGATGATATTCCCCAGGGGGGCCCGCACCTCGTCTGGACACGCTCTAATCAGCCAAGACGGGCACGGGTCAAGAGGACAGGTGGTGGGCTTTCCAGCTCGGAGGAGTCTGTCCACATCGGCTGGGGATATCCGATCAAAGTGGTCCAATACTGGACCCGAGGACAGTCGAGGGGCCTCCAGTTCCTTTATTGTATCCAAATTGGCAGGGAGGTCATGGCGGAGCAACAGGACCTTCTCCGCAAAAAAGCTCGCAAACGCCTCACAGCTATGTGTCAGATTGTTATTTAAATTTGGCTGTCCTTCAAGGGACGTTAAAGACCTAATTATACTAAATAATTGCGCCGGGCGAGAGCTAGCGGATGCAATGGAGGCCGAGAAGTAAGACTTCTTAGCGGCCTTCACCGCCATCTCATAGGTTTTCATAAAAACCCTATAAGATGTTCTTGAGGCTCCGTCACGGGCACCCCGCCATACTCGCTCTAGCCGTCTGAGGTCCCGCTTCATTTTCCGAAGCTCCTCGGTAAACCAGGGAGCCCGGTTTCTGCGGAGTCGCAGAGGGCGCTTAGGTGCGATCTCATCTATGGCTGCCAGGAGCTGGGTATTCCAGCCCTCAACAAGCTCAGTCAATGAGTCGCCAGGGGAGCAAGGTCCCGCAAGGCTTGACGGAATCTATCAGGGTCCATCAGCCTCTGCGGGCGAGCCCAAATCGGCTCGCCACCTAAGCAGGGTGGGGGTGGAAAGTCAATCCTGGCTTTCAGAGCGTAGTGATCAGACCATGGCACCTTAATTGAAGGAGACATGATCACATCTATACCTACGCCAAAGATCAAATCCAGCGTGTGGCCTGCTTGATGTGTGGGGCCTGAAACAAACTGGGAGAGCCCTAGTGTTGCCATGGAAGACACCAGGTCCAGAGCCTGTGAGGAGGGAGTGGCATCAGCATGGATGTTGAAGTCCCCCAATACCAATAGGTTAGGGAACTCCAAGGCCCAGCCGGCCACCGCCTCCAGTAGGCCTGACAGGGTGGCTGCTGGTGCGCTAGGTGGCCGGTACACCAGCCAGACAGCCAAGCTCACCTCAGAGCCCCACACTAGGCCAACACATTCAATGCCAGGGATCGATGGCGATGGTAGAGCCCTGAAAGGACAATCTTCCCGGATTAATAATGCCACCCCTCCCCCCCGGCCCACAGTCCGTGACTGGTGGAGGACGGAGAAACCCGGGGGCGCCATCTCTCGTAAGGTAACTGTTGCCCCTTCGCGTACCCAGGTCTCCGTCACACAAGCCAGGTCAACCCCCTGCGAGGTAAAGAAATCTCGCAGAGTGGCGGTTTTGTTGCCTATAGACCTGGCATTGCACAACACCAGTGACGGAGGTGAGTAATCCTTGCTCACCCTACCCTCGTCCCTCGGGATGGGGCGCAGATTGGAAGGGGTACGAGCATATCCGTATCTCGATCCCCTTCGCCTATAACATCTGCCCCCACCACCATACCTCCCTCGCCCTCCACGGTAGCAATCCCAAGCCTCGTACAAGCCTCCATTTACAAAATAAAAACCAAACCAAACTGAAAACAATTCTACCTAAGCAAAACCAATCCCCACCCCAAACCACAATAAAACAGAACAAAATAAAAATACATAGATAAAAACCACTGTTCACGGTGGTACAATAAAGTAAAAAGTAAAAACACCTTTAAAATACTTTAAAATATATAAAAACATTTTTAACAATTGCTGCGGCAGCACCAGCGTCCTTAAAACAGTAGCGGAGGTGAGTCTGGGCCCCGCCCCCTAGGCCAGGTGGAATCAGCCTGAAGAGGGAGCGGCCTTCCCCAACACTCACGGTGCAGCAGCAGCGATGTCCCAATGCCTCAGTGAGGCTTCTTAAAGCTGTGGCGAAGGTGAGTCTGGGCCCCGCCCCTAGGCCAGGTGGAATCAGCCTGAAGAGGAGCGGCCTTCCCCAACACTCACGGTGCAGCAGCAGCGATGTCCCAATGCCTCAGTGAGGCTTCTTAAAGCTGTGGCGAAGGTGAGTCTGGGCCCCGCCCCTAGGCCAGGTGGAATCAGCCTGAAGAGGGAGCGGCCTTCCCCAACACTCACGGTGCAGCAGCAGCGATGTCCCAATGCCTCAGTGAGGCTTCTTAAAGCTGTGGCGAAGGTGAGTCTGGGCCCCGCCCCTAGGCCTGGTGGAATCAGCCTGAAGAGGGAGCGGCCTTCCCCAACACTCACGGTGCAGCAGCAGCGATGTCCCAATGCCTCAGTGAGGCTTCTTAAAGCTGTGGCGAAGGTGAGTCTGGGCCCCGCCCCCTAGGCCTGGTGGAATCAGCCTGAAGAGGGAGCGGCCTTCCCCAACACTCACGGTGCAGCAGCAACGATAGCACTGTGAGGGGGATGCAAGCGTCTCCTAACAACTCTCAGCCCCCTTAACAAACTGCAGTTCCCAGGATTATTTGGGATAATCCTGGGAACTACGGTTCCCATAACTGCTAAATTGTTAGGCATATGTATAGTGACCTGGAAGAGGAACTTTGAGGCAAGATTAGACCATACTATGCTAGGTGGACCAACAGCTGAATTCAAAGTAAGGTAGTTTTGTGAGCGTTCAGTAGATGACCCTCAATTTATTTTTATTTTTTCAGAAAGTTACCGTTCAAGAACCCTTTTCATTGCATGCATTTTTAAGAACTCTCTGACACTGTGCCTGACAAAATGGGAGTCAATTTGTTCCTCTCTGCCAGAGTGTTCTTAAAACCCTTCATAATACCTCCTGTAATTCTCCATCTTGAAATTATCTTGGCCAGATGTTTCTTCAGCTCTGTATTTCTCAGTGTATAGATTTAAACAATATCACAGGCTTGGATGAGAAAGAACATCCCCTGAAGCTATTGCCTTTATTTGCGGCTGGGGTGGAGTGATTGAGAGAGAACGGAACAATGGGAGGCCGCAGGAGAGTCAAGAGGTGAGCCTAAGGCACTAGATGGGTAGTTATGGGCCCATTCGCCCTTTGTGTTTGCATTGCCATTTAATTTAACAGATGTGCTTAACTTGCATTCATCACGATTCCGTGTTTGTTAAAGTCATTCTTGGAGAGGTCAAATGATGAAACTTTCAAAGATCACATGTTCGGCGGGATATAGGGTGGAGCTCTAGGCTGATGCCTGGACTGACTCAGGCCATTGGTCCATCTAACCCAATATTGTCCACACTGACTAGCAACGGGTCTCCAAGATTCATACAGGGAGTGACTGGTAATATGGCAGCCTGAGCGAGGACAAAATTTGGCGTCCCCTCCACAAAAAGAATCTTTCTCCCCCCCCCCCCCCCAATAATTCATTTTGGTACAGTTGTTTTTTATGGATCGTCTCAGTAGGTAGCCACATAAATTTAGGTATTATTATTATTATTATTATTATTATTATTTACCCTCTCAGCTCGGTACCATGTGTTGAGGAACTACCTGGACTGCCCTAGATCTGGCGCTGTTCCCAGCCATATTTTGAGATGCCAGGGATCAAACCGGGCACCTTCTGCATGCAAGTCAGGGGCTTTACTCCTGAGCTACAGATCTTCCCCATGATGGGAACATAGGGAGCTGCATTATACTGAGTTGGTCCATCTAGTTCTTTGTGCATTGTTCTCTTATAATGGCAATGGTGCCCACTTGAGAGGTGCCAGAACTGAGTTCTGGCAAGTTCCGGCTGGAAAAAACAGCCCTGGTGTCATATGACCCCGATGTGGCCCCTTTAAGTCACACTCATATTGCCTCAGACACTGGCTATGAAGGTAAAACAAATCTGCTATTTTCCTAAATATTTTCTCCACACAAGCAAGAGATGCTAAAGCTTGTTAGCATTCAGGAAATGTTAAATTGCCGAGAAAGCCTTCCTGTAGAAATGAAACGCTATATGTTTTTTGTTCCTTCAGACAAGGCCTCAAATTGTCGGTATTTGTTAGTCATCCTCAGCGGGATATCAGGTATTTTTAGCCTTGCTGTATACTGTAAGTCAACAATTGTCCCCAGGGCTACATTCCTTTTAAGTGTTCCCAGCTAAGGAGCTTGACTTCAGCTCTTGGTCTTCCATCCTTTGGTTATGAAATTTCCACAGCTGTCTCCTTATAATCCACCTCATTTCCTCATCTTAAAACCTTTGACATTTTCAAAGCACTCAAAAGACCCCGAAGGAGCAAGAAGGTGAAAAACAGCAATGTCGACAAATAGGGCTTGACATACACTGCAAAAGGAGTAGCCGACATGGTGCCACCCAAGTATTGTTGGATTACAACTCCCAACAACCCCGGCCAGCATGGCCAATGGTCAAAGATGGTGGGGACTGAGGTCCAGCAACACCTGAAGGGCACCATGTTGATTACCTCTGTAACCCAAACTTCAGAAGTCAGGAAAGAATAAATATCCATCACTCTGTGGTGCCCAGTGAGTGACTCAATTGGGATTTGGCCCTGAAGGATATTACATGGCCTCCAGTATTCCTATTAAATTTTAACCTCCAGCCAATCATGGGAAGACTCAAATTTTGTGGTCTTGTTAGAAAAGGAGAGAAGCTTCTATTTATCCATGTTGTTGTTGCTGTTGTTTAGTCGTTTAGTCGTGTCCGGCTCTTCGTGACCCCATGGACCAGAGCATGCCAGGCACTTCTGTCTTCCACTGCCTCCCGCAGTTTGGTCAGACTCATGTTTGTGGCTTCGAGAACACTGTCCAACCATCTCGTCCTCTGTCGTCCCCTTCTCCTTGTGCCCTCCATCTTTCCCAACATCAGGGTCTTTTCCAGGAGTCTTCTCTTCTCATGAGGTGGCCAGAGTATTGGAGCCTCAGCTTCACGATCTGTCCTTCCAGTGAGCACTCAGGGCTGATTTCCTTAAGAATGGATACGTTTGATCTTCTTGCAGTCCATGGGACTCTCAAGAGTCTCCTCCAGCACCATAATTCAAAAGCATCAATTCTTCGGCGATCAGCCTTCTTTATGGTCCAGCTCTCACTTCCATACATCACTACTGGGAAAACCATGGCTTTAACTATATGGGCCTTTGTTGGTAAGGTGATGTCTCTGCTTTTTAAGATGCTGTCTAGGTTTGCCATCGCCTTTCTCCCAAGGAGCAGGCGTCTTTTAATTCCGTGACTGCTGTCACCATCTGCAGTGATCATGGAGCCCAAGAAAGTAAAATCTGTCACTGCTTCCATTTCTTCCCCTTCTATTTGCCAGGAGGTGATGGGCCCAGTGGCCATGATCTTCGTTTTTTTGATGTTGAGCTTCAGACCATATTTTGCGCTCTCCTCTTTCACCCTCATTAAAAGGTTCTTTAATTCCTCCTCACTTTCTGCCATCAAGGTTGTGTCATCTGCATATCTGAGGTTGTTGATATTTCTTCCGGCAATCTTAATTCCGGCTTGGGATTTATCCAGCCCAGCCTTTCGTATGATGAATTCTGCATATAAGTTAAATAAGCAGGGAGACAATATACAGCCTTGCCGTACTCCTTTCCCAATTTTGAACCAATCAGTTGTTCCATATCCAATTCTAACTGTAGCTTCTTGTCCCACATAGAGATTTCTCAGGAGACAGATGAGGTAATCAGGCACTCCCATTTCTTTAAGAACTTGCCATAGTTTGCTGTGGTCGACACAGTCAAAGGCTTTTGCATAGTCAATGAAGCAGAAGTAGATGTCTTTCTGGAACTCTCTGGCTTTCTCCATAATCCAGCTCATGTTTGCAATTTGGTCTCTGGTTGCTCTGCCCCTTCGAAATCCAGCTTGCACTTCTGGGAATTCTTGGTCCACATACTACTTAAGCCTGCCTTGTAGAATTTTAAGCATAACCTTGCTAGCGTGTGAAATGAGTGCAATTGTGCGATAGTTGGAGCATTCTTTGGCACTGCCCTTCTTTGGGATTGGGATGTAGACTGATCTTCTCCAATCCTCTGGCCACTGCTGAGTTTTCCAAATTTGCTGGCATATTGAGCGTAGCACCTTAACAGCATCATCTTTTAAAATTTTAAATAGTTCAGGTGGAATATCATCACTTCCACTGGCCTTGTTATTAGCAGTGCTTTGTAAGGCCCATTTGACTTCACTCTCCAGGATGTCTGGCTCAAGGTCAGCAACCACACTACCTGGGGTATACGAGACATCCATTTCTTTCTGGTATAGTTCCTCTGTGTATTCTTGCCACCTCTTCTTGATGTCTTCTGCTTCTGTTAGGTCCTTTCCACTTTTGTCTTTTATTATGGAAATCTTTGTACGAAATGTTCCTTTCATATCTCCAATTTTCTTGAACAGATCTCTTGTTTTTCCCATTCTATTGTTTTCCTCTGTTTATTTGCATTGCTCGTTTAAGAAGGCCTTCTTGTCTCTCCTTGCTATTTTTTGGAAATCTGCATTCAATTTACTGTATCTTTCACTATCTCCCTCGCATTTTGCTTGCCTTCTCTCCCCCGCTATTTGTAAGGCCTCGTTGGACAGCCACTTTGCTTTCTTGCATTTCCTCTTCATTGGGATGGTTTTCGTTGCTGCCTCCTGTATAATGTTACGAGCCTCCATCCATAGTTCTTCAGGCACTCTGTCCACCAAATCTAAATCCTTAAACCTGTTCCTCACTTCCACTGTGTATTCATAAGGGATTTGACTTAGATTGTATCTTACCGGCCCAGTAGTTTTTCCTACTTTCTTCAGTTTAAGCTTGAATTTTGCTATAAGAAGCTGATGATCTGAGCCACAGTCAGCTCCAGGTCTTGTTTTTGCTGACTGTATAGAGCTTCTCCATCTTTGGCTGCAGAGAATATAATCAATCTGATTTCGGTGCTGCCCATCTGGTGACGTCCATGTGTAGAGTCGTCTCTTGTGTTGTTGGAAAAGAGTGTTTGTGATGACCAGCTTGTTCTCTTGGCAGAACTCTATTAGCCTTTGCCCTGCTTCGTTTTGAACTCCAAGGCCAAACTTGCCAGTTGTTCCTTTTATCTCTTGACTCCCTACTTTAGCATTCCAATCCCCTATAATAAGAAGAACATCCTTCTTTGGTGTCATTTCTATAAGGTGTTGTAAGTCTTCATAGAATTGGTCAATTTCAGTTTCTTCAGCACCAGTGGTTGGTGCATAAACTTGGATTACTGTGATGTTAAAAGGTCTGCCTTGGATTCGTATCGAGATCATTCTATCATTTTTGAGATTGCATCCCAGTACAGCTTTTGCCACTCTTTTGTTAACTATGAGGGCTACTCCATTTCTTTAATGGGATTCTTGTCCACAGTAGTAGATGTGATGGTCATCCGAACTGAATTCGCCCATTCCCGTCCATTTTAGTTCACTGATGCCCAGGATGTCAATATTTATTCTTGCCATCTCATTTTTGACCACATC